GAATATATATAATATATATGAATATATATAATATATATGAATATATAATATATATATATATATAAAATTTCCCCCCATTAATTTTACCCTTTATGTTCAGGGCAATAATATCCAAACTTGGCAAATTCTGTTGTGTTGAAAAAGAGTACTGGTTGAAAACTCTGGGAAGTGATGAAAGATAATGTTGCTTAAATGTGCCTTTCTAAGATACAGTTTTCCTTCATTGTCTGGGTGCCTATGAATAAAATGCTACCTTCTCTTTGAAAATTCTGTGATAGCCAGGAAAGTAAAATGGGGATTTGCATATGATTCTATGCATGCAATGCTTTTCAATTTAAGATTATTCTTACTCCAAGCCTTGGATACCAGGTTTTGTTCAAAGAAATGTCCCAAAGGAACATTTAAAAAACTTAAAAGTATATCACATTATCTGCTAAATCCCAAAGTTTTCACAAAATGAAATTTAAATAAATGCAACCATTAAAACTCAAATGAAAAAAGCACATCCAAATTAAGATGTTTAAATATTAGACTGTATCCCCATAACTTGATTTTACAATAATTTTTCACCCAAGAATTCTAATTGTTGGTGATTTGCTTAAAAACAGAATCTATTTTGTCAACTTTTTTATTTAGTACAGTGTTATTTAATATATATCTGTGTACATTTTCCTTGGCACTTCCAGCTTCTTTCTACTTTGATTTTAAAAAAATATTCAATTAAAGAAAAATAGGAAGCTAACATCTTGCAAAGCATCAACCTTCAGTCTAATTTTTATTTACATGAATACCTCATTTAGATTCAGTTTTTTTAAATAAAAACAGTGAGCAACTATAATTCAACATTCATTGGTAATGTACAGTATATCCAGAGCTTAAAGGAATAATCTGCAGCAGCCCAAAATCAGGTTCTCAGCAAGATTCTTAAGAAGCTACTAAGTATGATGATGAATTCCATGTCAGCTCAATTCAGAAGAAGCTCCAAATTTCTACACTGATTCACTTGATGTGCGCGTTTCTCAAGTGTCACATAGAGCCACATGCTCTTTAAGTTAGCAAGCAAAGGATGGCCCTTCCAGCCTACCTAATCCTTCAGTTTAAACATTGGCAATGTATGAAGCAATTGCGTTCACCTAACTTTTAACTTCCTGCAGTGAGCTCTCCAGGGTCCTAGCCATGCTTTGTTGTTGTTGAAGCTTGTTGATGACTCTCCCTTTCTCTGAATACGCTACCAGTCCTTAGCTTGCTTCATCGGAGTGCTCGGGTCAAGCTAGGACAAGGGTCTTCAAATTTGGCAAGTTTAAGACTTGTGGACTTCAACTCCCAGAATTCCTGAGCTAACATGACTGGAAGAGGAATTCTCAGAGTTGAAGTCCACAAGTTTTAAAGCTGTCAAGTTTGTAGGGCCCTGAGCTAGGACATAGTCTCACTAGTTTGCCTTTTGGTAAATTTTTAATATTGTAACTTGCCTCACCTCATCATGGCAGCCTTTTTGAGGATAAGCAATCCTTCCATGGTACCCATTGCCATAGCATGCTCTTTAAACACCAAATGTAACCACCCACTCAAAAAATTTGTAGTAGACAGCCTCACAGTAATCTAATACTTCATCTTTCTTCTATCAAAAAACTTAAATGAGGATACATTTTTACTCTGGTTTCCCATTCATACCACAGATGAGAACCAGACCACTTTAGTTTCAGCTGGTTTAGTCTATTTATTCCAATTTATTCTGAGGCCTTAATTATGTTCAGCACCAAATTAATACATGTCAAAATATTTAAATGCAGAAATAGTTCTTATTAGAGAAATCTATCATTGATTCCTATATAACTAACAATTTAAAATATGACAAACCTTTATGCAAGCTGTGACTCTTTACTAGAATATTGTTCATGAGTACACTGCTGTATTTATCTTAAAGTGTCATTGGGAACAAGATTTATAGAGTTTAGGAATCAATTGAATTTTAGCAAAATATTCTAGTGCTATAATTTAAGAAAACTGTACTGCAGTAGCCAAGAAAAAGAGCTGTTCTTCATAGCATCATAATATTTTATGCATAGATATAATTAAGGTATTCTAAGGCATTCTACTATATTAATTGGTACTTCCTGGTTTTGAAAACGAATTAACTTGACTCATCAACATCTGTCAAACATTATTAAACCTAGGAAACTAATAAGGGATGGGTTTTTATTTGTTTAAAATGGGTTTCTGATTAGCCTTTGGTAGTTCATTCCCACTAGATGTCTTTGTTTACAACATATAATGTTATGAATGATATTCAGGAAGAGAAATATTTTCCCTCAGTTTGTTTCAGTGTTTAGCCAGAGTCAACTTTCAGACCATGTATACCATGTTCTCCAGGAGCACCACTATTTTTTAAAATAATCTTCTATGTACCAAATGATGATTATTAAAAACTATCAGTACTTATTGTTTGCTTGTGCTAAAGGACCTTCCTCTTCTTTCTGCTGTACAAACAGTAATCTTTTGGATACCCTCCAGCAGTGGGATGAGGGTAAGAAATCCATTTGATTTCTTGGGTTATGCAGTTGATAGAAGGGCCTTTGTAGTTGTTAATAATACCCTTTGTAGTTGGAATGAACCTTTGTACTTGTTAATAATGCCCAAGGCACAAGTCTCTTTCCTAATGGAAAAAGCAAATGAACAGAAACTCAGATTCAGTTGACTTGTCCTGTTAACACTGGCCTAATTTATTATTCTTTCTCAGTGTTGTTATTAATAGAGCCTACATCAGGCCATTAAACTTCCCTGAGAATCTTGTATCCTCCTCTGAATTTTCTGTTCCTAATGAAGTCTGAGTGACAGAGCTTCCAAATAATGATTTTTTTAAAGATAAAAAATAAATAAATGACATGTTCATTATCCTTCAGTTCAAACAGCGTAGCCTCTTCACAGGTGAAAATGTTCTTCAGTGTGTTGCAGGTGCTATGTATATTACTGGATTTGCTGAATCCATCTCTGGCCTCCTGAACTTCACTAGCATTTGGGCAATCAGAGGCATCTCCTTGGTAGTTCTGCTGGCCTTGCTTGGAATTAACCTGGCTGGGGTGAAATGGATAATACGACTTCAGCTGCTACTTCTCTTTCTACTGGCTGTTTCCACACTCGATTTTGTCATTGGATCTTTCACACACCTCAGTCCAGGTAACATTTTTCTGACTCTTCCAAATCAAGATAACCATCTTAATGGATGAATAAGTTTTTATCCATTTATTTGTTGATTAAATATGCTAATATGAAAAAGTATTTCTAAAGCCACAGTCTTTCTTTTTTATGTTTACATGAGGCATATCTTTTTTATGGTTTCTCTCTCTCCCTCCTTCCCTCTTTCTCTCTGTCTGAGAGAGGGGGGGCACACATTTATGGTTTCTCTCACATCCATAGAGGAACACCTTTACAACAGAAGTTCTTCCTATGCATTAGGTATATATGTTTTACTGTATTAGATAATAATAAATAGTATATTAGGTAAATATGTTTACCATATTCAGGTTTTTTTAAAATAAGAACTGATTGAAAGTGATGTTTAAAATGTGCTGGTAGATAGAATTTTTCTAATCTTTGAAGTATTTTACAATTTAATCTGATGTATTCCTATTCAGAAAGAAATCAAAATGAATTCACTTGCATTGAAGTGGCTATGCAACTAAGTAATGGAAGAAAACAACTAATTGAAGACTAACCCCAACCCCACCCCAGGAATTTTAGATGAAATTATTGTCTAAATATTCATAAATTATTATGAGTTTCATTGGGTGCTTGAGAAATTTAGAGCTAAAGAAAATTATAAAACAGAATGACTCAAAAGGTTATTTAAACAGATACACCCATCTACAGCTGTTTTGGCCTAATCATGAAACTCAGTGTTGGATCTATCCAGACACTTCATCAGGTCAATCTATTAACTGCTTCACTTACAGAATACCTGCTGCATATTACAACCTGTCTTCTTGGCTCTTTCCCCCACCCCCAAAAAGGTCACTTCCCAACTGGGGTTTTTTCATAGCCTTTCCAAGCATTGTTGAGCACTGTATGTTTAAGAATCATAGTGTTATAAGTTCTACTTATGAAAAACTAAAGGAAGCAGCATGGTATTTTTGTTGGCTGGGAATATGAAGCTGAGGAGTTTTATATAAGAAAAATAAGGTAGACAGGGTAAATATGATTGTTTGATAAGATCAAGTACACAAGTATCAGAGAAAGATATGTAGCTTCTAAAAGATCACAGAATAGTAATTGATTGCAAACTGAATGTGAGGTAGCAATACGTGACTGTAAAGAATGGAAATATAATTTGGAATTGTATCAACTGAAGTATAGATAGTTCTCTCTTAATGATGGTAATTGGGCCAACACGTGTTTTCAGTTCATAAAGACACCATTTAAAAGAAACAATAAAAAAAACTAAAAAGGAAACAAAATGACCTGAACACATGCTCTCCAGTATCCTACACCCAGATAAGCTGGGATTAACACCAGACAAATAATTGAGCAGAAAACAATACTCTAATCAAGGAACTACTTTCACCACTGCTTGGGCAAGCTATACTATATAGATAGCAAGCAAAACTCACACTCATTAGTACTGATGATGATAGTCAGATAATGAAACATCTGCAAGCAAGCAATCAAGGTTACAGAGCACCAAGGACTCTAAAGTTTAATGCATATTATATTCTATTGGAACTTTAAACATATCACTGTTGATGAACTTGGGCTGTTCTGGAAGCTAGCATTTGACTTAGTAGATCCAAAACTGGCTATTCCTCACTATTCAAAAAGCAGAGCATTGTTTTTCAGCCTTTAATTAAGCTGCTGCAAATGAGGTTATGATCCATGGCAGTGTTTACCAACTTGAAAAATCTGTTGTCCAGATTCAGAGAACTTCCTCCTAGGTAAATCCCCCAAAATAGAATATAATCCTTGGTAAATGTATATAGGCCATGAAAAGTGATTGCTTTTAGGATCAGATTCATTGTTACAAATTTGTTCATACTTATGTGACAATTTATTATATTTCTGATAATACCAGTTCCACTTATGCAGTTGGAATTTATTTCTTTTATCATGAACAAGCAAAATGAAGAGGGAACATTTGTATATTTAACAGGGCATATTCTGTAAAATATATTACAAATATACCTACAGCTTTTAGTTATTAAACTCAAACATGTAAAAGTAAATGTAGTTACACAACTAAGCAGAAGGTGTCACTTTATCTTCAAATTCTTTTACCTCAGCTTTTTAATGTTGAGATTTTCTTTCTTTCTTGGCTTTGCATTCATGTATTATCTACAATGATATAAAAATCTAAAAACTAGGACAGGAAGATGAGTCACCTGCAAATATTCTAATCTCCTTATCTGGAGAGAATTTTTAATAATGCATATGTTATGATTCAACCCAGGAGAAAATCTCAATGGCATTGTAGCCTGGAATGCATAGTTTAGAATTACCTAACACTTGTTTACAGTTTGTAAAAGGCAGCTGAGGTTTTTGCTTCCTTAAGTAGCAACCTTAAAGATTTTTAATGAATAAGGTCCAATGAGCACAGTTAGACTTATTTCTGGATAAATAAAGATTATGTTCTCCTGTGAGAGCATAACTGAAGTCTCTTTGCAAGTGTAAGTTCATTTAATATTGACTAGACATCCCCTAAGATCATTTATTGCTCAATTTACAGAATTTAAACTCAGAATACATATCTGCAACCAATTTTCACCCTAGAACTTTTGAAAATAGCGCCAAACCAAAATACGGCAGTATGTTCCCACAGGATCCAATTTGTTCTTGCTTGCTTGCTTGCTTTTTGTTTTCTAGCTAAATACATTTGGTTATTTCTTGTGGATCTCAGATTGTAATTAGAATTTTTAATAAGTCTTGATTATCGTTATGCTCTGTACAGGATTTAGTCCTAAATGGTAGATTACAGGAAGGATGCCCAGAGGATTGCACCAAGTTGTTTTAAGTTGGTTCAGAACCCCTCCACTGGGTATGATGTACCTGGAATGTAATAGAAAAGACTTGTAAGTTCAAGGAATTTGAGCCTCAGTTTCATTTGGCCGAATAATTGAAAAATGGAAAATGCTGATTTCTTCTACTGCTACCACTATTACTGCTATGATTTGGTATGATAGTTAAAAGCATTCTCTTAAAAAAATAATTCTGAGAAGCATCCTTAAACCAAAAACTAAGAATGCCACATGCATTGTAAACTGAAATTAAGCCAAAGCGTAAGTAAGTAATACAATAGAACAAAGCAGGAACATCCTTATGCAATGTTTACGTTTTTGAAAATTGGCAATGTAGCACCATCAAAAGTGACCGTGATAAAGATTTCTAGTGTGTTAAGGCACTGTAAACAAGAAGATGTTTATGATCCTTTTCACATAATTTCATGGACTAAAAAAGCCTTTTAATTTGCCTTTGATCCGGATGTAGGCAGTGTTTACTTTGACTGATTGTTTAATGTTTCATTGTTTTAAACATGAGATTCTTTTTTAATTCATAGATTCTTTCTTCCTTCCCATTGGAAGTATTCTTTCTCTACTGTTCCTAAACTATGATTTGGGAAGTCCTGAAATACCACAAACATCCTCTATGTGGTATCTAGGTATTGATTTTCAGATACCTCATATAAATACTCTTCATGGGTATTTGAAAACATTCTTAGGAAATTGGAGTTACATGCATATGAAAAGGTGACCTTACTTTTTCTCTCTCTGTCGTATGAATGTCAAAAGTATTAAACTTATATTTTTTTTAAAGATCTCGATCACTTTTTACAAATGTGCAAGTAATGATAAAATGCCAATGCAAGAGAAAAGTTTGATAAAAGAAGCCAATGCAAGAGAAAAGTTTATGATATACAGTTTGAATGATTGTTATAACGCAGTAACATTTTGTCCTCTCTCTCTCCATGTTGTTCTACTTGGCTTTAATTCTTTGCGGTAGTTTTCTATTGTTTTTTAAGGAGGAAAATTTCTTCTAAGAGCCTTGAAGATGTAATTAGGCATATTATATGAATGTAATTGATCAATAATGCTTGTTTTAAGAAAAAAAAAACATTGCATTGTGGCTTAGTAATAAAAAGTATTAAGGGAGGAAGGTGGGTGGTTAAGAAGTGTTATTAATTAATTAATTAATTAATTAATTGCAGTGTTCTTTAGAAAGATAAGACCCTCTATAGCTGTAACTGATAATCAGGTTAGGCACAAAGAAATGTGGTAGATTAAAATTATTCACTCTAAGACAATCATGTTGTAGTATTAGAGTCCCCTCCCCCTTTAATCTTCATAGGTAAAAAAAGCACAGAAACTTGTGCACATCCTCCTTATAGAACTCAAATGAAATTCGCTACGTGATTAGGCTTGGGTGGAGTTTCCTAGCTGTATCACTCCCATTTCCCCAAGCACAACACACACACACAGACACACACACATCAGTATTATCCCAGATTCAGTCACTTCCTTCCCTTTGCTGATTTTATTTTTAGAAGTTGAAGTCAAGCACATATTTTTCATTGTAGGATTATTCTCTGATGGGGTCTCCCTGGCTCCCTATAAAAGTTCCTCAGTCTCAAAACTTCGTAGCTTTATAGATCTAGAATTAAATGATTCTCGTTGTAAGGCAAGTTAGCGTAAAAAGAGATCTCCTCACAGCTACCTTCTTGGTCCATTTCAAAACAAAACATCTACTGGGTTGGCTTTAATTTTCATTTAGCATGATAGGTGAACCCAATAGTTGTGGATTATAAGTCATGATTCGCTGTTTAGTAATAGACTGCTGTATCTTGAAACTATGGCACGGATATTCCATAGAATATATATAGGAAGGAATCAGGATCATGTTTTGGGATGTGTACATTTTTCCATATACTGTGCGCAAAAAGTACTGGGAATTCTTCCAGATCTTGTTGGATAACATTTTGCAGGAGGAAGACTTTGTGTCTCAAGCTTTAAATATTAACATCTTTCACTCGTTGTTACTTCTTTTTTCAGTGGGTTCAGGATTGCAGAAGCAAAAGAACACAAGTTTAGCTCTGATCATAATCCTGAATGAGTGGTGTAACAACCCCTAGGAGACAGTCCTTTATTATCTTCCTGCAGAATATTTTGAACTTTTATACATAATGCATAACTCTA